AGCAGGAATACGATGCTTCCAGTTTTAAGAGTCTTTAAAGAAACACAAAAAGCATTTGGCTATCGTTGCAAAATGCTCACAGTACGACTATGTGGCAAGCGCACGACAAGAAACCATGTTGAACAGACTGAATGTATCTCCACTGCCTCCTGAAGATACCCAACGTGACCTAACACAAGGGCTCATGCTTAACAGATGCGCCTTTGAGGCCCCTTGAAAGTTACTCAGCTCAACAAAAACCCATTAAACCTGATATTTTGCAGAAAGCCCAGCAGCCCATCCTCTCTAATGGTAAAACTCATCTCTTTGTAGGCGATGGCTCTAATTTGCCACCTTACTCTGTGTGCAGCAGTGCCAGCTTGGTGCATGAACATGTACAAGCTAGCTTAGGTATCACAAATTAAGGGAAAAACTTCCACTCTGTTCACCTAAATGCACTCTAGCCCTCAAGAACTGATTCCATGCTAGGGGTTGTATAAATAAGCATCTACACAGGATACGCTACTACGAGATAAGGAAGTTGTCCTCACTGGTATGAAACATATGCCTCCATGATCAAAACAGCAGTGACAGCTCTTATAATTTAAGGAGCTGACCATCAAAACAGTCAGATCATGCCAAAAGGTGAGACAACAGGCCTTACAGGAGCTCAAACCTTACAGGATTTCTTTGGAGATGGACCGAGGAGCTGTAATATCCCTCTATAGGAGGGATCAGCACATCTGTTAGAAAAAAAAACCCAGCCATCTGCATTCTTCTGATGGTACTAGAAATGTCAACTCGAAGCGGCTTGTATGGTTCATACAGCCCAGCAAACCACAGTTTTGTAACCACACAAGAACCCTATATAACCTCTAGTCAACTCCAGTGACTGCTCCTGCAGCGCCAAGCGTGGATGCCTCCTCCACCTCTTCCCTCGGAGTGATCACGGCACAGCCAAACCAGATCTGATGGCATTCAAAATCCAGGCTGAGACGTGCACAGGGAATATCACCCCCAGCTACACTTCTTCGCTATTGTAGAGCTTTGTTTATAACACGTTTGGTATAATGCAGATTTTCGGCTTTATGCACAGGGATTTTTGTGCTTCAGCAGACAAGTATTGTTTAATTAACCTCAAGGGGATCTGATTAAAAAGTCAAGAGGTGAAACAACTCACATCCTAACCCACGGGTTATAACCTCCCCATGAAGAATATTTCACTGGTTTATGTAGATGATCTTGGCTCTGAACAGGGGAAGAATTAGCTAACCTCTCAAAATCCTTTCTTGCCCTGTCTTCCATAACATTAAAGCAGAAAATTTCCTCTCAAAGTTTCCAACTGTAACACGGAGAGGTTTAATCCTTTCAAACCCCTTCAAGGTATGCAATGTTTCTTGAAGTACCTGAACAATTGGTTTATAGGAAGATAACCCTGAACTCCACAAGGAGGTAAAGAACTGATCTGATAGCAAGTTTAGTCTCAGGAACTATCCGCAAAGTTGGATTTACTCCTTTTTTTATAAACCCACTTTACAAAGTTCTACCAAGTAACAATAAAGTCCAACAAAGATCCCCACTACATTGTGATTTTTTAGCCTGAAACATGATCCCAAAGTGATGAAGCAACTGATAAATATACTTACAATAAATAATCTGGCATTTCTGAAGTTGATGTTGGTACACTAGAATTATTGCATGTTCCATTTAAACCTGAAAAAATAAAAACTCGTTTATAGGCATTCTTAAACTTTAAAGCTCTATGCAATTAAAGTTCAAGTTCATAAACTTATCTGCAATATACAGCTTATTGAATTCTAAAGGGTTTCTGCTTTGCTTTGAACTGACAAAGATAGAAGATCCACAATAAGGTGGCTGAAACTTCAAGGCTTCTCCAGTATTTGTCTGTCAGCAAAACAACATCAACATTAGCCAACGCACCAAGCAGCAAAAAAACCTTCATGTAACTGGTTTGTAAACGCAGCCCGCAGGGTGGGATAACACTGGTATCACCACTGCTGAAGTGCAAAACAAGTTTTTGAGTGCAGATGAGCAGAATAGAGAGCTGAGCAAGGTGTACATTCTTTTCTCCTGATTCTACACTATATAGATTCCTACTATTAATACTCCAGGTTCAGATTTCTACTATTAATACTCCAGACTCCTATAGGGTACAACAGAGAGGTTTAAAAGGCACGCAGCCTTTTCCTCACACAGCCCTGTAGACAAATCAAAGTGCTCTCTGCTCTACGAAGCTGAAGAAACATGACTCAAGCCAGGCTCAGCTAAGAATGCTTAGGAGTTTAAGTGAAGGGACCAAAGACCTCAGGAGGAACGGGATTCTGAGTGTGAGCCTAAACCAGACCCCATCCTCAATGTAAATGAAACACTGCATGATTAGTTTGGAGGAAGAAAGCAGTTGGATACAGGTTTGAAAAGGGATATTTCTCATAAACTGTATCATACTGAAAGTCCAACTCAGAAAGCCAACTGCATCCACGAGAAGGCAGCAAAATAAGAGGCAAGCAGAGAAGGCTGCCAAGGATTTCACTCAACCGCTTTGCAAAAGTGTGTTTCTTCGTTCCTCTTCTTTCGAAGTCTTACTTAGAGCAAGCAGTACCTTGACTGCGCAACGTCCCCGGATGCACAGGAAAGGTGTGTGTGAGCCCCATGCCTCACCCATCCCTACGCTCACCCACGTTACTGTATGGTCATTACCCCAGAGAAACTGTGGGGAGCATGAAACGCTCAAGCAATAAACACAGGCATGTAAGAGAAATTACCTAATTATAGCTTTTTAAAAATCAATTTTTCCTCTGAATTTCCACAAAAAGGCTTTCCTGAGCAGAATGGAAGAATGGCAGAAAACCCAGTGTCATTATAAACACCGCAGTCTCAAATTCCTACTGCAGATGTTTGCAGACAATTCTGCTTCCGTCCTTACCTGGCCACCAGCATGAAAGATGCAGAATGTGGGCAAGGAAGACCGTGGAGGAGAAAGGGTGAAAAGAAGGTTTATTTTGCCTATGAGTGCCACCTACTGTCTGCTGAAAGGACCCCAAAGGTCCCTCCACCGCCTCTTGAACAAACCTCCCAGGAGAAATTCTGCTTCCCTGCAGCCCCCGGGCCAAGGGGGGCTTAGGGAAGGCTGCCAGCCATTTGCCGCAGACAAATGGAGCAGGATTAGTCCCGTGCTATCCGCATGAAGTAAGGCGCAGAAGGAAAAGATCCCAATTCAGATGCGAGCTGGCTGTATGAAATCCAAGCAGCCACTGACCACATCCTGTTTGTGATTACCCCCGGGTCCAGCCCGGATTCGTTACCTCGCATTCATCAGCGGTGCAGCAGGAACAAAAACCGACTCCTACTAATTAACACAGAGCCAGTCATTAAACTGTTTTTAAAGCAAAGCAGAAAAGGTGATAAAGGGTCAGCAACTTCATGAAGAAAGAATTCAGGGTATTTTGGTATTTATAATAAAGACTGACAAAAATATACATCTAGAAAGAGAATGTGTGTCTATCTATCCACTACCGTTCAAGATACAAGGTATATGGGGAAGAAAAACAACAGTCACAGGAAAAACTAGGACTGACATGAAAGTTAAGGTCAAAGTAGAAGTAATATCTGAAGAGCGTGGTTCTGCAGTGCCACACAACGATCAGGACTATGGACTGTCATTAAAAATCACTGGTGAGCAACCAAAATGCATTTTGTAGGTGCTACAGAGACTGTGGGGAAGGTGAGAGCTAAATCATATTAACCTCAATGCCCTGTGAAGCTCTCCTTTTCCAGGAATCCCACAAATTAGTTTCTGTTCCAAGTTACTATCCTTTTTGAGCCAAAACTGGATGATTTTCATGCACCAAGCATGAAGACGAACTCAGTGTCAGAAAGCAGTAACAGGGCAAAGGAAAACAAGATGGATGCAAACAGAAATTTAACAACAGATCGGGCCTGCAATACTCCTAGAGGCTGTAGGGGAAGCCCCACCGCTCCGGCGAGTTGTAATGTAAGAAAGCCTAACGAAGCAGCAGAAAACAGGCAAGCTGCAGGCACTGGCAAGGGAACAGATCGGATTAGCCAACGTATATTCTCTGCTCTAACTGCTAAGAGTATGTAGAACTGACTTCGAAATATACTGGTTTGATGGAAAACATTTTCATTGCATCGCAATGAGTAACAGATTCACAGTTGTGTTAGTCCCTGAAAAAATAAATTCAGAGTAATAGTGGGATACAACAGGGAAGCTCTTTCAGCCTGAAAGAGCTGGTTGTATACTGCTCTAACAGCATTTATCACAAGACTTATCTATCATTTCTTTTGTACCCAATATTAAAAGCTTTTGCGACTAAACTTTTCATTATCGAGTTAAAAATCAATACAACAGTCATCACAATACCAAGCACAAGCAGAAGAGCTGTAAGTAATCAAGCAGCACTGCTTTTTCCAACAGATCTTGATGTCTGCCTTTCATCCCCATATATTAATACGGCTTTTAATTTAACAAGGAGAAACATGACACGGTCTGCGGCAGTTCCAAACAGCACGGAAGGTTAAACAGGAAAAACCTGATATCCTCTTTTGAGAGGAAGCGCATTTGTTGATTTGTAGGTAGGGACAGCGGTATTATTTCGTTAACCACACGGGTCTCTACAAGTGGACACACAACCTCTTTCCTCAAATAGATTTAGAGCAGAAATCATACACAGCCGATACCAATATTATCTTAGCACAAGCCGTACAGGAGGACCTCTCAGATCGTACGTACCTGTGACCTGCTCCTGGGGAACACTAACTAAGTCAGCATTTTTTATTACTTCACAGTCCTGCTTCTCCTCTTTGCATTTCTCTTCATTTTTCTTCTCCTTTCTCTCCTTTTCCTTGTCTTTGTGCTTTTTGGATTTTTTCTTGGTTTTTACATACGAGCTGCAATTGTGCTTGCTCGTTTGGGGACAGTCTGTGGACAAAGGATGAGTCAGTCTGTCAGCCGTCTCTGGGTTCTCACAGTCTCTGCCGTTGTGAGTCAGGTCATTGCTGACATCCGAAAGGGGATCGTGAGGCCTCGGCAGCTCCAGCACCGGGAGGCTGGAGCTGGAGCTCACCGACTCCGGGACAGCCGGCGGCAGGGCAGGGGCAGGGGCGTCCTTCCCGTTGGAGGAATTCAGTTTCCCGTTGAAAGTGGGCTGACTTCTGTGAGCCAAATGAGAGATCCTGGGCTTTTTGTTGGCCAGGGGATCAATAAACTCCAGAGGCTGGGGTCGTTTCTGGGGAGGAAAAATGAAAAAAAAAAATCTTGAAGTCTTGAAGCCAGAATTTTGGATGCTGTTACCACTAGGTGGTGGTGCAATACCAGAGAACAAGGGAGTATCCCCAGAAAAAGCTCTGCTACCAGCGAGAGCTGCCAGCAAGTCTCCCAGCTCGGAGGCCAGTCCTGGAAACAGGCTCCAGGACCACCAGGTCCTACAGAAGCTGATCCATCCCAAGCCGCTCCCTGACAATCCCAACAGCCGCTCTGGAGCCCGCGGCTTGGTGGGAGAGCTTATAGAAACCCACCACTGCATCGGCAATCACTGATCTCCTGCACTATTCGTACACAGGCCACGCAACCCAGCCGACTCTCGTTGCAGCTTATTTCAAGTCTGGCCCTTCACAAGTAAAACCTGGTCCTTCACCCTCCCCTTGTCCAGCCACTGAGCAGAGAATGGAAACAACCATAAAAACATCCATCCTTCTGGTTGTGGCATGACATTTACAGCACCTCGAAGTCCCTGCGAAGGAAAGATGTGCTCAGACCTCTGGAGCAGGGAGGAATTCACAAGTTCTGCATTTTATTCCCAACTGATTTTACCCACTCTGTGGTCAACAACTTTACCCTTGCAATACCACTCCTTCCTCTTCTCAAGAAAAGAGGCATTTCCCAGAAGAGGTGAGAAAGCATCAACTGTTAAGTTCTCAGAATTTAAGGCAAAAGAGGACATCTGCAGCAGTTTTAAAACCCACGGCATGTGGGCCAACACGACCCGAGTATCCCTTCTTTAAATAAGTGTAGGGAGAAAAGTGGTTCCTAGCTGTCCCCATCACCCTACCTGGACAGTCACAGGCAGGGCTTGGAGCTCTGTGTGCCCACACCTCCCAGTAAGCGGTCGCCTATAGACTGCAGGTTGGCCTGGGGAAGCTGCACCATGGAAGAACCCATCCGTCAGTCAGCAGAAAGAAGAGCTCAACGCAGAGCCAGAAGCACGGCTGTCAGGCTCAGTCCAGCCTGAGCCAGCCAAAGTTACCTTGGACAGCCATCAGTGCGATGGTGTGTGCCTGCCTGGCAGCACAGGGCTGCAGAAACTCTGAGGAAAGATTATTCAGTGCCCAGAGGAAAATAAGCGATAGTTCTGGTTATTTCTTTTGGATATTTTATTGTTTTCTTTATGTCTCAGGCAGGACTGCGAGGTGTTTGCAAATGGAAATTTGTAAATACAGAAGTGCAGCTGGATGTACAGCTGCTTTGTCAGGGAGCCACCCATTCGCTCCTTTTCCCCCCAGTTATTATTTCTCTTTGCTAACTCCAGGGGTCTCAAGGACGCTGCTCAGTGGCAGGAATCCTACCTTCCACCTGTCAAGGGAATTACGAAGAGGAGCTGCTCCTACTGCCACAGAGCTCAAGGGGCAAGGACAGCACGTCGAACCGGCTCTGCAACATCACCGCCTGCCTTCCCAGCAGCACAAGCAGTGTCCATCTCCCAAAAGGAGGGGCCATTCACTTCGTCTACAGGTCTGAGCAGACAGATCTAAGAACTGCCATCTTTTACTCACCTTTCTTTAAAGCCAACAAATACCAGCTTCAGCAACTTTACCTCTTTGGTTATGAGGTGGTACATGCATGCGATACCTGCCCTGCCATGTTTCCTTAGAATTACCAGACCAACCTTTTTCTTTGCCTTCATTCCACAACTGAACTTTCCCAAAATACTTTGCATTCCAGACTACCAAATCCCAGTCCTCTGCTGGGACTGCAACCATTAGCAGGCATCCCTTCTCTAAATAGAAACCACAGCTATAGAGTATCAAAAAAACGATGGCTTACAATAAAAAGCTGTCTGCAGTTTGCTGCCTGACACAAGCCACGATAGAAGCACTGCTGGAAACATTTCTATTCCATGTTCGGTTGCCCCTGTTTCACTAGCCTTTTCTAGATCCAAACCAATCAACCACCCAAAGTTTCAACTGGGTCATCTCAAGAGACCAGAAACGTCCCCTACAGACCGTCGAGTCTTTCAAAATATGTACAGCCAGAAGCGAGATGACTTTTCAACCTCCATTTTTTCCGAATCAGGTTAAGAAAAACACAAGACCAGCCTCTTAACAGCATTGTGTCTTTCCAAGCTAATTCCAACGAAGGGGATCATTCTTTATTCACCAGGAACATGCCCACAGCAGAGCAGGAGAGGATTTGGAATTAGTTACCTGGCAAACAAGTTGCACGGTTCTTGTTCTCAATAGAGAATTGCCTCCCTCTCACTGCCAGAAAGCACATAATTTCTTTACCTGCTAATATTCTTTGCCACTAATCCTCAGTGCGTCTGTCCAGACAAGTAGGCATTACACATTCCATTGGCAGGAGGAGAATAAATACTCAACTTGTCTGGGCTGACCCACAGCAGAGAAAGGAAGCCGGCATTTCACAATGCTAGCAAGAAATGCCTGTGCTAAGAGATACTAAGAGGAGTGGGAACAGACTCTGCGTAACACAAGCAAATGCAGCTCCTTCGCAGTTTAGTATCACGGAAAAAGAGCTAAAATGTGCTTTTCACGGCTCCACGCACTGGCATCTCAACAAATCAAAGAGCAGACCAACCTGCCCCTGATCTGTCACGGCCATTAGGCTGCAAAAGGTCAAGGTTTTTAATAACTCAACCGTGTTTGGGAGCTACTTATTACCGCTTCGTTCCAGTCAATTATTAGTAATGAGTAAAACACAAGCTCATTCTCCCAGGAACTCCAAGAGGGATGTAGGCACTGTGAAAAAAATTTATCCCTTAAAACTAAACCGAAGACACACTGTCAGAGATCCTCCCCATAGGCCATCACTGAACCACATCCAGAGGAGAAACAGATGCTGAGGAAACCCAGAATTAGACTAACTTAATAAAATAGAAAAAAAACCCCAACAACCTATTGACCTAACAGCCTCCAGCAGCAGGTGATTACAGCGTGCAGACAGACTGAACAGCTCAGCCTGGACCTACGTCCAGCAACCACCTCCACCGAGAGCAGACGGAGGCAATTGCTGGCGCTGCGCTAACCAGACCCACCACCCTTGGAGAGGGATCGCCTACCTGAGGAGGAGAGCTGGAGTTCACATTGTCTTTTGGTGGACTCAGGGAAGGCGCTTCTCCTTGAAAACCGCTACTGTTCTGTGGCTGACAGAGTTTCCTGAAAAACAGAATTTAGGGCTGTTCAAATCCCGTGCTTGACAAACCAACAGATGGTATTTCAAACCTTCCTACAGAGCAAAGAGCCTTTTTGTGGGCTCAAATTCTGACTGCTTGAAGATGCCATGAAAGTAGCTCATTCAGGCACTTACAGTTTCACTCTCGGACAAAATCTAGGAAGAAGAAACTCCTAAATACCGGTATCGATAGCGCACCAGCTTTGCCCTACTCTCCTGACACCAGCCAGATTGCCTGTATATTAATCACCCAGGAAAAACTACTGTTGCATCAAGTTGCAGCTGTCAAGCTGAAAAAAAAAATTCAAGGTTAAAGGTTTTAATAAACTAGCTCTGCAGTCATTTTGTCACCAGCTGTACAGCCTAAATAAGCAACGTCTAAATTCTTCCACAAGAGGCTATAATCAGCTTTAAAGTGCACACATATTTTTCAAACATTGGGGAGATTAGTTCACAGATAGAGCCCACGACTTTACAAGATCTCCTTTTAACCTGAGCTTGAACCTTCAAGCCATATCGCAGCAACATTTAGATGCCTGCAGTTTCACCACCGTTCTGGCTTCAGTTGCCGCTTTGTTTAATTTTTATTTAGACCAATCTCAACAGCCACGGATCAACTCAAGAAAAGCACTCAGAGACTGTGAAAACAGGAAGGGGAACAGTGATATTCCATCAACACCGCAGTGAAAGTGGCTTTTTGGATGCTGTTTGACTAGACTGAGCAACCTTGTCACATCTCCTAACATGTTAATTATGGATTTAAAAAAGTGAATGAAAGACGATGACTTTCAATTCAGCGGCTCTTGTAACAGCGGAAAAACATTTCACTACAATGGTAAAAGGATGGAAAACACAAACAGCATGAGGAAAAACGAGTTAGCCTAACATGGGCACTGTTAGATATAGTTTTAATATTTGCAGATGTGCTAATTATTGCAGCCGACAAACCATCGAGTGGCAACCGGACCTGGAAACCAAGAGGACATTTAACAATTGGCTGGATCTAGGCAACCATGCAGACTACCCCAGCCAGCTACGTAAAGTCCTGCGTCTGGTGCTTGTGCCCTTTTTGTGAATGTTTTTCTACTGTCTTCAACCCTACATGTTTTTTCCATTTTGTAGCCTCATTACCTGCACTGGCTGAGCGGGTCTTTGTTTGTACAGTTGAATACATCCTTTCCAAGGTCTATTTTTAGACCTTCGCATAACTGAATGCCACAATTCTAGAGAAAGCAGTAAACATGGCTTTCTACAGGGAGAAATTAACTTTTTTGAAAGCCATAAAGATTGCATGGCAGTTGTATTTTTCCATTTAATTATAATTCAACATCAAGGCCATTTAAACAAGTTTGATTTTTCTTTAGCACGCCAAAGCACTTTAAGTGCAAGTTTCTGTTGGTTTAACAAAGTCTCATCTCCAAGCCAATTGTGCTTTCAAATCATGGAAACTGTTCAAACAGAGCATGCTCTACTTAATCTTAACCAAAAGCGCAATAAAATAAGACTCAAAAACAAGTCAAGTAAAATCCCCACCCGCATTACAAAATCTGTACCAAGTCAGTACAAACAGACTGAAAACCCAGAGAGGGAAATATAAACACTCAGAGCAGAATTCTCCTTTAGAAACCTGGGAGACATTTTCTCTTCCCCTGCTGCCTGCCAGCCAAGAGCTTCCCAGCCTGGAGGCTTCACCTAAGGAAAAATATCTGCAGAGGAAAAAAAATCTTTAGCAACCAATGAGACAAAGCTATCATCTCAACTGACTCCACTAAGGGCTATTTTCAGGAAGGAACGTGAGAACGGGTATCCCTTGGACAGTGGGGATTACACCGTATGGGCAGCAGGACGACCAGCACGTGTTTTAGGGGACCTGTCTCTACAGAACTGCCTCGTGCTTTTTCATGCATCCCCTACTTTAATTAAATCTTAATCTTCCAGGGCGACTGTGATACTAGCAGTATTTGCAACACAAGGAAAAGAAAAACACCCAAGTAAACAAACATCCAAATACGGCTACAGAAATTAAGCAGCAAAGTCTCCAAAGCAAACAGCTCAAGAGGAATAGGGAGATCCACAGGCGCAGAAGCGGCTGAGCAAGACAGCTAGGGGACGCGGCTGCACGGTAACGTCTCTCTCCTTGCCTTGAACAAACACGGCAGTCTGCACAGGAAGCCATGTACAAAAAGATATGGAAAAAGGAAAGGAGAGTTTCAATGGAGAGCTGAGCTGGACACATTTGCCTTAATCCATTCATCTCCCAGGATTTTAAACAACCATTAACTTTTAACCGTAACAGCTTTTGTTCGCCATCCAGGTTTTTCCCGTAGCTTTCAGTATGATGATTTAAAGGCAACCTAGGATGATCTGAAGAGTGCCTCCCCTTTGATATTCAAGTTTAGTCAACTTCTACAGCTGCCTGGATGATAAACAGACTTACTTCATGTTAAAATAAGTCAAACACTCAACTTACCATCATTCTACGGACTTCAGTTACCGTGATTTACAGTAACTGACCTGGCCCAGTATTCTCAAGCTTCAGATATTACAGAGAAGATGGAATAATTACCGAACAAGTATCCTCTTCAGCAACTGCTGATCTCCTTCAGAGTAGCCAGGCCAGTCCTTCTGCACTTCTTTGTATACACAGTCTTTCAGTGTGAAAGTGCTGTCCTTGGCACTCAAATTTGCCACCTGAAACAAAAGTAATTTGCAAAAGACTGTTAAGGGTTTAATTTTCTCACTTGTTCTAACAGAAGAGATCTAAGATGCAGGCAAAATCTCAGCAGACTTCGCAGCAGTTAGTAGTGTCAGAGAACAAGTAGAGACTTTATACTTCATTTCCTAATCATTTAGATTATTTAATCGAACTGCACCTTTCCTTTTGCCTCGTCATTGCAATAGCTTATTATGAGTTTCCAAAGCATATCCAATTTACTGGGAAACAAGTGATATCTAAATATATTATTCAGGTTGGATAGTCTGGAACAGTATGACATCAGTTTATAGAAATACCTGGAAATAAACCCTGGAGGGACCAGGCAGTTCACTTATCACACCTGTCTGATAGCTAAAACGGTGTGGTTTATTAGCTGCTAGAGGAACTCTTACGGCGATAGCTTAGTTAACAATTGCCAGAAGAAAATTTCTCATTAACAGGCCAGTAAAACAGGCGACAGAAAGCTGCTTTCTCCAGGAGCAGTGACGAGAATGCCTTGCAGATATAATGCATTAGGGAGCCTGCAGATTACCCTGTGCCATTCAGCCTGTTAGGATCATCTGCTGGATTTCACGGAGAACTTTTCTGAGGACTACTTCAGGGCACGAACAAAACCTGTGATTACCAGCTTATAACCCAGGGTTTTACAATAAAGCATTGCACCTATATCACGTGCTGTGGTTAGCTCAGTACGCTTGCAGGAGAAGCTTTGTGACGTTTTATCCAATTCTATCGTGTGTCGTTTCCCCACAAAACTCTGCATGGTGCCTACATGGATAGGAAACACTGCTGGAACTGGCAGAATTGTATTAGAATGGAAACAACTTGTTAAGAGTTTTCCCACTTTAATCAGTCTTTCCACAGCTTGACTGAAAATTTAACTTCTTGCTGCTGGTTACACGTCTGAAAAACACAATGTTAGCACAAACCAAAAAGCCCCAATTAAGCTTTCACAGATAACTGCCTTAGTGAACCCTTCTTAGGTGCTAGTCCTGCAAGTTCAGAAAGAAAACAAAGCCTTAAATTTGTTTTCATAAAAGGGATACGGAAGCAGAGGTGCCAAATGCTATGCCCACAGCCAGGCTGATCAACTGGCACAGCCAGCAACCGCATCCCCAATTCACTGCCTTAGCCGCTCAGTTTGGCAACTGCATGACACTTGAAAGTGGAAGATGCTTTTGCTCGGTCAGTGGAGGCACCGTGCATCTGGTTAAGGACTACTGTTCTCCACTGCTCGCTCCGTGCGAGACGGTTGCGCTTATGAATTTGTATTATCCACGCAGCAGTAAGATAGCCTCAGAAAAGCAAGCGAAGGAGTGGAAAGTCTTGAATTAACTGAAGATGCTGTTAATTCTTCTGCTTTTGCTCTAGGGAGACTATGACCTAATATTAAAAATCTATGAATTTAAAAGCAAAAAGCTGCAGAACTAATACAGCAAAGCTCTCCTGATAAGCAAAAAAATAAAAAGCACAGTTATCAGTTTACATGATGAACACTTTGTTTTTCCTTTCAGTTCTGTCAGCCTTCCAAAATCCTGAGCCAAAATACAAGAAGAATTTGAGCTGTGTTTTACATTTAGATATCCCAGTAAACATGCCCAAGAGACAAAAGCAAAGCCAGGTTCTTTTTCAAAAACTCTCCGAGAATCTCTCCAGATACTGCCTCTTTCTACAGCGGGAGACACGCTGCTCGGCAAGGCTTGTAGCCCAGGCAGAACAACTCAGATTTTCTCTGCACAGAGGCTGAGCGCTGCTACCTCCTTGTTTTGCTGGTGTGGGACTCTGCAAGCTCCACCCCAGGCCTCCCAAAAATAGAAACCTTGCAAAATGAGGCAAAAAGGCCAGCAGGAACACAGAGTCCTACGAGAGATGCAAGAGTACAATGAAACCCACACCTAGACGTATTTAGACATGTAGCTTTAATGCAGCCTGTAATTTTTAGCTTATCTGTGTCTGCTTGCGGATGGGAGCCCTGGTAGCGCTGAAAGGAGATGCAGTTTACGAGCAACACATTTGCAGCCAAATCAGCGTTTAGCCCCATCAGGCTGACACTGCGGACGCTGCCGAACACACCGCTTGCCTGCTGGGGGTTTGTGAGAGCATTAAATAAAAGGTGATTAGCAGAAACAGTATTTCTAGTATTAAACCTATTTATAGCATTCAAAAGGGTGGTCAAAAGAATTCTAGCACTGCTGGAAAATTAAGGGCTACAGGATTAAAATGTAGGGAAGGAGCAAGTTGTGCCAATAACTCCATTTTCAATATGACCTGCCCTGTGCCCTTGGGCAAACTAACTCCTCACCCTCCCATTCTTTTCAGCTATGGAAAGGAGTAAAAAAAAAAAAATCCAATCCAATACAGAAGAGGGCAGCTGCAGCATTTCAATAAATATCCATGATGTGTTTTGCACCGTGAGAGCAATAAAGGTATTTACCGCAATTCTTAAAATGGCACCTTCAACATGACTCAAAGTGTTAAGAACTGATTCAGCTCGGAGACAGCCTTCACACTTGACATACAAATAATATGCTTTGCAAGAAGCTGCATGATCCTCACACCTAACCAGCTGCACTTTTTAAGCAGGAAAGGCATGGGTCTGGACAATACAAAGACGTAAAGCTTAGTGGAGAGGGGCATATTTTTTCCTTCACACAGGAAACATGACATGTATCGATACAGAACGTGTTCCTTTATGTCCGCGTTAATAAAAATATATAGAACACATTTATAGGTTATAACAAATCAAACAGCTCGTAGATCCCCTGTTAGATAATTCTCCCCACGACCAACCAAAAGGGCTCCTCTTAAAGTCACTGATCGGGTGAACCAAAATCATACAGCTTAGTTGCATACACCAAAACCGAGGTGTACACACGAGAGGCTTCTGCTATCTCTAGCAAAACGGTAACATGAATCACGAACTTCTGTCGGACACGGCCTTTAGAGAAACATTCAGCTGCAGCTTTGAGACACACAGGTTACGTTCAGACTAATACAGAAGGTCCTACCATTCTGAGAAGACATTTCCCTTTACCTAAATTGTTGCCTTCATCAGAGTACAAACCTGTTGCAGAAGGTTGTCCAGCAAATCCTTGTCCTGCTGAGAAAGTCCATCCTTCTGCAATCTGAGAATAAGTTCAGGTTTCTTATAAGGCTTTAGTGCCAGTAAGTGCACAACCCTATCTTTGAAGGGTCTCTGAGAAATCGCACTATTGCCTCTCTTTATTGCACTGGCAAGGTTGACTGGCGTTGGGCGCTTCCTGGAGGGAACAGCATCGGAAGCTCCTGGTGCAGGTTTACGCACCTGAACCTTTTTCCCTAAAATGAGATGAGAATAGTGAACTGCAGCAGTCACCTTGCAAACGCCAGTGGTCTGTCAACACGTATATGGAGCTCGTTACACCACCTGAAGTGCCAGAAGATGACAATGAAGGACAAACACAACCAGCACACCCCATCCGTTCCGATACGCCGCCGGAACGAGTATCCCATGAGTTTTACGATTCATGACAAGCTTGTAACAAGTAAACAGCAACACCAAGCTCTGGAAACCTGAGTATTATTGGCCACAAGCTTACATAAAGCTCTCTTTGTTTGCCAGCTTTTCATTTATCCCAAGTGCATGTATCCCCATGGTTAATCTAACCATTTTTTCCCCTCCCGACGAGAAGAAAATTCTGCATTATTATGCAGAAGAGTTGAAATACGGAGTGGAAAGACCAGAACTGGTCAACGAGTGGCTCCCTGCTGCTGATCTCAGCAAAAATGCTAGTCCAGCAGATGTTTCTGCTTTTGGAACAATAGGAACCTTATGGGGCTGGGTCCACCTCCCTTCCCCCCCGCCGAACCCAGCCACATGAATGGGGTCTAACACCGATACATGAGCCTATTCATTAGTGTGCTGTCTATTCGAATAGAATAACCCCTCTACATTGCAGTAATAACTGCTTCACCCGCCAATCACATTTATGTATATGTGAGAAGGTAAAGCTGTCTCAAAAGTTCATCTCAAGCCCTCAGAGGCAGCTTCCTCAACTCTGTCCCAAATGTGGTTCTTGGTTTCTGACAGCGTTATACAAGAATTCGTTTTCCCATTCCTATTAAAAAACAGCTTTAACTAGAACCCTCACACAAGTCCCACATCACTTACTAAAGCACAAATCAAAGAATTTTACTATTTTCCATACAGAAGCAGGTCACAAAGCCAGGTTCCTGCTACCAAAGGCGAAACCAGCAAATCAAAAAAGAAAATCTGTTGGTTCCAAGGTCTAAAACACAGAGATGCAATCAATAACCACTTTGGTTCAAGAAAGTGACCTTCACTAGGACAAACAACATCCAGCATTTACTGCAAGAATTTTGGAGATTTGTTTCAGCATGGCAATTCTCCACTGCTAGGAAGCAATGTTTTCAACTGAGTCATCTGAAGATACTGGTGATTGTCTGCAGTGTTTATTTTACTGAAATGTAGATTGCATAACTCAGTCCCCATTTCCTGGCTTTTTATTACGCACCACGCTGATGCAAGCAAGTACGGCCCATCGCCGGCAGGGCTGAGTTAAGACGAGAGGGAGAAAAACAACAATTCACACATTAAACATCCCAAAATTCAGAGGTCAACTGGACTTCATTTCCAGAAAAGGGACAAGAGAAGATTCGTCGTCAGCTTTCTAGAGCTCCCTTAACTCTTGCCAGGTCATGAACAGCAAAAACACATTGGGACATTTCCACTTAAGGCTGGAGCCAAAATGCGCAATGATAGGAAAAGAAAAAACTAAGTTAATCCAGAACATGAAGTCTTTTGAAATCTTTATACATGTGCATATATATAGATGTATATACACACACACATTTAGTGTATATGTAAGCACACATATCCCCCTACAGACATATCATCTCTCTATTTACATATATATTCGTTTGAGTGTTAGTTCACATCTATACTGTTCTGTTGATCTCCAATTTCAACATTTCATATAAATTCTTCCACATCTGAGCTGCCTGGAATGACTCCACTGACGTTAAGTGCTGAGCTCCGTGTTCTCATGGAAATGTGAGAGCCAGCCTTCTCCCTCCAGACCAGCCTGCAAGTGAATCAGCTGATGGTGCTGGCACACCAAATACGTGCGTATCCCGCAAGAGGACTGTCCTTGCCCAGGCTTTTCCTTCTTGGACCAGTGCTTTCCTCCTGTCTTAAAGACTGACATCTTATGTATGCAGCATGCACGCCACTCCGCTGCTTTTTACATGGCTGTACCTCCATTTCAGAGCAGTAAATGTTTTAGCAGGAGTGTTTTTAAATCAAAAGTTTTGCTCTGTCTTTCCGGGAAGCAATTTGCTTTGAGAATCTTCTCCCTCACAAGCCTAACAACTTCATCCACTTACTGTAATGTTCTCAAATATAAGCTAAACAAAATAATCTTCTAGTCTACAGGAAATCAATGCATTTCCTTCCTGATTACTATCTTACTTCTCAGCTTTGAGCACTTGGCTGATAAAACAATGAGTCAGGGTCAGTTCTACATTTTGCAACTCACCATTCTCATCACAGACATCCTCTGAGAAGAGACTGGCTACAGACCACATGGGCTGCAGAAAAAACAGCTGGCTTAAAAAAAAAAAAAAACCCAAACCAGACCTCTGCTTTCTGCTTAATATTTGTGTCCTGTTTGTGACCAGATGAGCTTAAGCAGGGACCTGAGCCCAAAGCAAGGTCTCTGCAGGCTCCTTCTGGAGCCCACTGATACTTGCCACGGTTTTATTTCCTCCCCTAAGACTCTCCTTGCATTGTCACAATAAGATGGCTTGTTTAAGGCTGCAGTCAGCAGCACTGCTTTAGTCTCTTTGTTTATTAGCACAAGCGCTCTGCTATCTGCAGCCTAGATGTTGCATGTTAAGGGCTCGAGTGCAGGCACACACCAGATGTGTGACAACAGCGGTGGTACATTTTAGCTGACTTCGCTAGGAGCACAGACACTTCTGATGGATCAGCAGTATGCTCTCAGCATCATCGCATGACAAACATGAAATAATGCCAGAGTGATGTGACTGCACACAGACAATCCTCAGAGGCCATGCAAACGCCACCACATATCATCTAGGGTGAAGATGGAAGCCATGAAGAAGTCGCAATACAAGGAGAGTAGCACCCTAATAAACTGGACATCCATAAGGAACTACCAGATACTTGTTAAAGACTTTCACGGGCAAGCAAAACACATGTCAGCATTTGACTTCAGAAGCTAGCGAAGACACGCCCAAATCAAGTTGCTGCTTACCTACGTATCTGCCCCCAGGTTTAATGACGATAGCGCTCCGGCTGCGAGTCTCCTCCTCTGCCTGTGCCATGCTTTGCCTCGCCTTCTGGTAGGAATCATCAGTAGCACACACGGTGATTTTATCCTGTATGCTTCCAAGGCAATCCAAATGGATATTGCCATTGCTGCAAAAGAAATGGAATGGAAAAGATACTCCCGACACTGCAAACGGGCACATCGCTGTCCCTGGGGAATAACTGAGGTTGCATTATCTAAATAATAGGAGGGGACAGAAAGAAGCCGAGAGGTAAACAGATTCTTTTGTGAGTGCGTCCTTACCCAAATACACACATGCAAACAGATTAGAAAGACTCTAAAAAGAAAGAACACGTATTAAGTTTTGTTCAGGTTTGTTAGGGACAAGATTCTATAGAAGACAAGATACATATTAAAAAAAAAGGCTAGATTTTCTTTTGCTGTACCACTCACCTAGATACATACTGCTGGATACAGTCAAAACTCCCTTGGGGGCTGTCCTTGCCAATATTTGAAAGATAAAATGTGAAAGTCCGCACTTCCGTAGGTCTATCGGGCCTTGGAATTGCGATGTGCTGTTTGGAAGGAGAAAAATATTGGTCACTTGGGTAGCCCACACTAACACAAAACTCAATTTTTTGGCAGTCACTATGCTTTATAGCCATTTTGCAACCCACTACAGGTAAAGCATACGGATTACTGCATAGGAGACTACAAAGAGCAAGAAACTACAAGAAGGATTCAAGCCAGCAAACCTATATGCACTGAAAAGATAAGGTAACAGAGGTAGCCAGAGGTAAAGACCAGCTAAAAAGACAGCTCTGTCTGTAACAGAACAGAGATCTGAGCTGGCGGCTCGCTGCCTTTCAAAGCGGAGCCCACAATAATCTTGTTCTAGGAATCTGACCCAATTCTATTGATTCAGGCTCAGGCTTGCTACCACTGTTTATATTCAATTTAAAGCACTTGAGACTTGTTTCTTTAGAATTAGTGATCCAGCACTAAACATAGTACAAGCCAGGTCACTAGGTAGCATGCTTATTCTTTTTTAAGAGATTATAATTCCATAACGAGATTTCATGGCTCACAGTAGAGTGTGACGCTGCTGCTAAATTAAATATTTAATCAAGCATTAAGTGTGCTCCGCAGACAACTCTACAGCGATCTGCGTTGTTTTTCTCCCCCCAGCCATTCATTTTTCAAAAGGGAAACTGTTTCCCCTCTGCGTTCAAGAGCCAACATAAATCTCGGCATCTGAGCTCTACTATCACATCAATATTTGATAATTAAGATGGCTTCCAGAAAATGAGACAGAAGGAACATCAGCTTCAATCTATTTTAGGCTACACTCTACCACACAGATTTATATTTACCCAGATTGCCACATATATGCACAAAATATATATGCCCAGCAAACCAACTCGTGGCATCCACATATGACTGTGCTCCCTAGAAGATTACTGCTGGTACAGAAGGGTTTCTAGGTGGTTTCCCTTTGACCTCAGACATCTACAGCAGCCTGGAAACCCACTGCATCTGTCCCACTTTGCTAAACCACAGGGATGTTCTCAGAACCGGCAAGAAACGCTTGTGTGACCTGCACTGAGCTGAGCCACTGCAGCATTTTCCATTTACTCCCCGGAAAGACCAGCTGTCCTCCAGCCAGCCCTCCAAACAGGCTTCCCTTCTTTCGAAACGCCAAGCCAAGAAACCCAGACTCGAGCGATACAGAAGGACAAGTTATCCCCCGCGCGGTCCCAGGATCCGGATCTAAAAATACTCGGAGCAGATCTGATGGCGATCCGGGCGCTGACGGGCAGCGCTGACCCTCCGGCAGCAGCAGCTGAGCCCCGTTATCTCCCCGGCCAAACGTGCGCCGGCAGCCTTGAGCCCGTAATCTGCCCCGCCACCCTCTGCCCCCGCCCATCCAGAACAAAAAATTCTCTTCTGCTTCACAAGCGAGCTGAGAATATACACAAAGTTATGTAAACAGTAGATTGTGGGTATTTTACACTTGGCACCGTTCGCCCGCTAGTTAATTTGCTGGGAACGGGGCAAGAAGGCAAATGCAATGGGTCTGCTCAGCATCCAGTGCCGTTCGTTGGGGGAGCGAGTTGTGCTGCACACGCTGGGTTTGTAAAATAAAACCTGGAGGATGCAACCAAATCATATATTCACATACTAAAACAACTTGCTTCTAGCTCCTGGTTTACCACGGTAAAAAACAGCTGCTCCGAGAGCCCCGACTTTGGCATTTTTGTAGAGTTTCTGCAGCTTCTTCAAAGGACGTAAAATGAGACAGAAGCGAGAGTCACTTCAGTGTTAAATGTTGCTCGTTCCAGTACTGAAAAGTGTAGCATATGCAAACCGGCCGTTATCTAGGAATTATTTTTAGCTGAAACAGAAGGTTTCTCAAGCCACCAAATCAGCATGGTAACTGCTTTGAGGGAGCCCTAATTTTGGTGCCGAGTATTACACCAGTAACCATAGACACTTAAAAATAGCTTAGTACAGATGTTACTTCTGTTTTTTTTTTTTCTTTCAAGTAATATTCATCTGTGTACAGCTCATTCTGAATGGCAATTTCACCTTCCTCTATTAATACCAGCACAAGTTCATCCCAAGAAACAGGGGAAAACGTCATATTTTCCAATCACGTAAGGTGAAGACGTTTTGTTCCTAACAGTCATATTTAAGAAAGCTGCATGAACACACAGCTATTTGGCACCTGAAGGGGTTTTTTCTCTCCTCAGTTCATTTTCCCTACTCCCCCCATCTCAGGTCCCCCCACCCCAGTAAGCACCTGCAAATTTGACCCAACCTCATCTCTAATCCTGCACATGCTTTTACTGAAATAGAAGCACCTTCAAGCCTTTTTTGTAAGGTTATGCACTCCAACTACCACCATTTGTAACGCTTTGGTACTCAGGCTCTGTAATTCTCATTTACCTGCACGCTGAAACAAGCAAAACGCTCCAGACTCCGTATAAACTTAGAAAAGTATCCAAGAAAATCGAGTTCACGATGAAAAAGTAATGAACAGATGCTGCTCTTAAGGAACATCCAGATAGTCCCACTTCAGCATCTCAAAGCACAGTAACGCTCTGCTCATTACAACCTAGTTACTACTATCGAAATTCTGATTATTGCACAGATTATTGCCCTGAAAAAGTAATTAACAAGAGTGGCATCGCTATAAAGAAATGCATCCCAAGGCAAAGATCATCTACAGTCCACAGTTTATAAAAACTCCTGTGAGATTCGATGCAGAGCAGGAGCCGTGCAGGAGGTTTCGTCCCCTGTCACTGAAAGAGCGGCTTTATTTTGGGCTAGAACCACCGCCATCCTCCTTTCAGCACCTGGCCGACAGAGCTGCCACCTTGCTGACCCCGTGTTTTATTCCTGGCCAATTCCCTTCTCTGGTTAATTAGAATATTAAACATGAAAGGTTTTTTCTGTGTATTAGAAGCTGAGAGTATCCTTGACAGCACTCATTAGACTAACACTGGGAAGAGGTAAAAAAAGACATGGACACAGTAATTTAAAAGCCCCATAAATAATGAGATTCAACAGGTCAGGAGGCTTCTAGAGAATTAAATTAAGGAAGCAGCAGCTTATTTTAAACTCTTATTTTATGTCCTGCTTCCCCCCGTCATCAAATATTTCCAAGTTTTTCCCTTCTGCAAGAGGGATATTTACAGAGAAAAGTCACACTATTAAAATCTCATATCACTGGAGACTGCTTTAAATCACACGCCGACGTTTGTGCCACACACAAAAACCTACCGCCCTCAAAAGTTAAGTGGAAATCTTCTCCATAGCAACATTTATTAGGAAGCAAAATAGGAAGCAACAAATTGGAGAATTAAGGTATAGTGGAAGAAAGTGTATTCCAAAAATAAATAGCTAAACAAGTATGTTTTAATGTCATCATCTGAATTTGAGAAGTTGTTAAATTATATTTTCAGTCCAATTGATAGGAGGCTTACTAGAAAGTATTTAAAGCCCTGCCGTCAATTCCTTAAAGCAGGGCACAATCGTGACATATACGAGTACTACACTTAAAAACAGATGGTTACGCAGCTGCCAGCTTCTTGTCATACCCAGTAAAAATAATAATAAAAGGACAAAGAGCTCTTTCTATCTGCCCCAATTGAACTGGATCTCGCTTTCTTCAAAGCTCTACCTTTGGCCTTTACTCGACAGTGCAATTAATTAAACAGCTGAAAACGAGGCAAGCAGAGGTCAGCTCTGTGCTGCCAACATCCTCCTTCCACCCGCAACGCCCCGGCGCTGCTCACGCTGCGCAGGGCTCGACGCTTCGCTCTTTAAATGGCAACATCAGATGCAATCGTGCTGCTTCGCTCCTTTTCCATTCAACCCGGACTGTAATTACAGGGGACTGGCAGCTCTTTCACCAAAATCTCTTCTCTGGAAGTTAAGGGCTCAAATACAATCAAGTGCATTAAATATTTATTTTTAATTTTTATAAGGAATTGCATAACTTGAAAATATTTTTAATTTTATAAGGAACCGCATCATTTCAAAATCGCTTTTCTTTTGGTTAACCTGAAGATGCCCAGGTCCATATCGCCTCCACGTGAAACCCACTCCAAGGGGAGCACAGTGGCTGAGGGCAGTGGAGCATTTTAAGCTGTTCTGATTCATTTTGCTACATTTCCTTCGAGGAAGATTAAGAATTTCTAGAGCTTAAGCAGCTTTACAGGAGAAGCTAGGTGTAGATCCTCCCAAGGTGCTCTACAAAGGCAAAGGAAAGCATTTGCCGTCGTCTTAGCTTCTCTTGTTAGCTCATCTCATAGCAACAAATCAGGCACCCTTAAAAGTTTTCCTTGTCACTCGCTTCTAATTTCGCCAAACAGTTGCAGATTTTTATCTCAGCTTTCATGCTGAGCTTTCTGGGAAGTTTAATTGTAAACAAAGTAAAAAACCTGGAAATTGCTCCTTTTTTTATTTCCCAGGACAAAAAGGTTTGTATTTTTCTTCTTAAGTTAAGATAACAATCACGTCTTTCCTGCTACATTTTGTTAGAGTACTATGTACTATTAGTGAGACCAATATCACAAAGTAAAATATGGGCAAGGAAAAGGATGCTAGACACTAATGCCTACTTAATTTAAGCCTTTTTGAAAGTTTTATTGTGCCACCACAAAAAAAGAAGTTTTTACAGCCGAGTTCAGATTCTTGGAAAAAAAAAAAAATTAAATTCCCCTTCCTTATGCAGAGCACCGAAGTTAAACGTACACCTTTTTATATCTAAAAGGTATATAAATGACATTTTTAAAGTTCAGTGAAGAGTTGCATTACTTTACCAGAAACACTACCAATTAAATCTCAGCGTTGTCAGTAACTGGCATGACAGACGGTTTCAAGCGTCTATAAATATCTTGGAGGAGTTCAGTGATCGGAACAGAAGTTATAGAAATAAACCTCCTAAATATAAAAAACTTTTGGTACTCGCAGAAACTGCACAGTTGTTTAGACATGCATATTAAATAAAGCTTCCGTACATTCGTAGCAGCCTCCAAGCACTGCTACTGTAAATAACTGGTACCCATAAAGTCTTGCACCAAGTTTACCAGGCTTGGCGTGGCGTTTCCTCGGGACACAGGCGAGGTTTCCAGGGATTCCTGCGCCCACAACAGTACTGCCATCAGTGAACTTTCCCTTTCCTTGTTCTACCCAACAGCATGGCCTTACAAAACTAAATTTCACCACCAGCAACACTGGCGGTGCCAGTGCCAGATTTAGCAAGGTTAGAAAATAAAGAGGGGGGAAAAGTTTTTATAAAGAGAGAATCCATGCGATAAATGAGCAAACGACTCTTCCCTGCACCACATCTGAACTTCACATCTTTCACTTTCAGAAATCAGAGCATCATTCTTTGAACTGGAATAGGACAGACATACAGAACAAGTGTCTTACTCAGATGAATTGTATAAGCCAGTAAAGAACTTTCCAAGGCAACCCACGTACAAACTTACCCCTTGGCTTCCTTGAAACTGGATTACTGGTTTTGATGTCACAGCATCCTACAAAAAGGAGTGGAAAAAAAAAAAGATTACCTTAGAGAAATTTAACGCTCCAACATTCACTGCCAAAAAATACTCAGCTTGATTTTTCACCTATGCTTTTTACTTCCCCCCGCCTTTTGTTTTTTTTTAAAAAAAAAAAAAAAAAAAAAAAAGGAAAAACATTCAGGGAAGTATACAGAATTCCAAGCAAGAGAATACAAAAACTCCTGAAGCAGCGATTTGTACCTAGAAAAGGGATAACACTGGAAGGTCGCCAGCGGTACCCCCACTTCAGAAAAAGAACAGCTCAGCTGCGTATCTCCGGTGCTTAGGTAAGCTTTGAGTTAAACAGTGGATATTTGAGGGGAAAATTTATTACAGTTCTAGGTCCGAGAACACGCTAAGCAAATTTTTTCCAATAGAAAGCTGGCAATTCATTGGAAAAGCAAACTGCAACTTCATTGCAAAATACTGCTGTTACGCTGCCCATTTCAACAATCGGCCTCTTCCTCCATGCTAATTTGCTTACATTTCCCGAAGTCGTACTCCTGCTAGCTCTAAAACCCCTTAAACCTGCTCAAAACAGAACCACCACTGAATTTCAGCCTTTTTGCACTGTGATTGCACTTTTCGCTTCGCTGGGATTTTACAAAGATCACGAAGGCTTTGGAAGTCAAACTCTTACCTGAGGTTTCAACTATAGGGAACGAAATAACATCTGCAATGCTAGCCGCACTAAGTTTTTACTTCTTAAGTTTCAGGAGAATTGTGGCTGTATTGGTTTTATTTCCTAAGTCACACAAACCATTCCAAAACACACTAAAAGACACGTTCCGGCAGCACAGGAGTTGTGCTCCACGGGGTGGAAAAACACCCTGCCTGCGGGATCCCACCGTGAAGCCTTCCAGAGGGACAGAGGAATTTGCAAATCGGTTGAAACGTCATTTAGGAGCAACCACGTTGCCACATATACGGGATACACATTTCAACGGGAAAAACGCCAAGAGTTTAGGAGACAAAGTCCCAACGGTGCGCTTGTGCTGTCCTTTTTGTATCACAGTTCTCGCACCTCCCAGCATTATAAAGATCCCACCGACTTCCACAGGATTACAAAAACAGACATTTACATTGAGCAGCAAAGGAGTTAACAGCTTGAAAGCCCATTAAGTTCATCATCTCTCATAAAACCTTTCCAAATGCTTTCAGCCCAGGAGTGAAGAATCTAAGCCACAATACACTGACATTAGCAAAAAAAAATTCACTAGCAAGAAAATACCCTTCTAGCACAGATGAATAAGCTCATACCAAGACAGTCTTCAGAGCCTTTTAAGAGCCCATCCAATACGATTTAAGTCCTGCATCACACCCTAAATTGTTACGAGATATTTATGATGGCGAGATATTTATGATGGCGAGTAAAGCAAGAACACGCTTGAACCCGACAGCGCTCGCTCGGTGTTCTATAGCGAGTTTTACAGACCCGCAACAACCTTTATGAAGAAACAATAAACAACATCTTGCTCTTCGTACAGAGATCACTGAATTCCTTGAGTGCCACGACACTGCATACCACAGCACGCTGTTCATAGACAGACTGGCCAGCTTTTTGTTCACGGTGTCAGCATGTACTGTGCAGTGTGTCCAGAAATTCGTATGAACATACTTGAGCAAACAAGCATTTGAAACATTAAAAAAATCTGGATAAAAAAAAAATCTCAACGCGGATCTTGTACAGCTAATTACGGATTTGCGAAGTTCTGCAATTAATCCTGGAAAATTACTTAAGTGGAATAAAAAGGTAACATGAAGCATGTAAGTAGAATAACGAGGCAGTAACAATACAAAAGTACTGTTACACAAATCAGGACAAGCTTTAATTACAGACCTTATAAATTCCCTAATCTACATACAGAATGGTTGGAAGTTAAACGTGTAATCTCAAACTTAAAAATGAGCGTTCGTGTGAGTTAAATGGCAAACGTCAGCTTTATTGCCTTCAACCCCTGAAACGCAGTATTACTACGCTCCTGAGCTGCGTGTGCCTAGGAGCTGCTGGGTTTCGTGATCTGCCGTGTCGCAATATCAGCGTTGTAACTCCTTGCCGCACTCCACAGACGGGATCGCAGGGAAGAGCTGGATGTTGGAGTCACTGCACTGTCTGAGCTCCCCTTCCAGGGAGAGGAGAAGGCTCTCGGCTCCTCAGCAACACCACCCCTGTACCTACACAGGCATCGCCTCCCTTCTGCTGGTGCCCAATTCCTTGGCCACGGGTCGTTTGAGAATGCTCGTGGAAGAAGAGAACACAGGCACACCCTAACCTAATTAAGGATATGAATTTAAGTACTTCTATTAGGTGAAATTAAATTCCGGCATGGACACCTTCATTCAGAATAAAAGCAAACAGACGAATTAAGCTAAACCAAATTAAAACCATATTTCAATTTATATCTTCAGTTCATTTGGATTAAATTTCCTGAATGTTCTTGTATGGACAAACCCCAATTTTAAAGAGTTCTTGCTACCATTTCCAAAATCCCTCCGTCATCTTCTGAAGAGTCACCTAATTCTTCTTCCTTAGCGATGCCAAGACAGTGACCTTCCTTTGTTACAGCTTCCTAGAAACACCGTCCCATCCACCTTCAGTGGCAACAAGGTCTTTCCCTCTGTCTGTCTTTCCTTTTAATAAAAACAAGCCATCTCCTCGGCCCTAGGACAGGACCGTGGTACTGCTGTGGGTACCAGTCTGCCTTCTCCAGAGGACACCAACTTACAGGGTTCAGTAAATCTTCAGTATACCACGGATGCCGATGAAACCTCGCCTTTGTGTTCAATTAAGAGGCAAAACAAGACAGATCTGTCCGAGCAACGGGGCCACTGGCACAGCCTAAGCATCTTCCAGCTAACAAATTCTAGCTTTATTCCTCCATGAGACTTGATATACTTAGGAATAGCTACTGGAAGCTGTTTAGGATAAAGACAAAAATCTAAGCAAGAAAACAACAGTTTGAGTATTTTAAACCAGCCACCTGCCAGTTCAACAGGTTTGCTGCTGCCAGGTACAAGATGTTCACCTCTGCAGTTAACATGCTCATCCGTAACGGTGACAGCGGTGGTGAAGAGGTCCAAGGGTGAATGAGCATGATTGCTGGGACCCGTGGGACCAGAGAACAAGCGACTGCCACACAAGAATAACGGATTTCTAAACTATGCACAGACCAAGAGCAAGCATAGCCCCTTTAAACACACCTAAGACGCATGAATTACATGTCTGCTCGGGGCTCACTATTGTTTCAACAAAAGGCTTCCTGACACAGGACCGAAAGGTTAGCAAATCATTACCACGTCTTCGTTGTTTGCTAGCTCCTACAATGGATCTTTAAGAAAATGCGTCAAGCTTCCTCCCATCTTACCGTAAGAGAAAATGAACTGTTTTAACAAACCGGAGAGTCCTTCCTGCAGTCGAACTCACCAATGCCCCAAAGCTCTATAGGAACAGCTTCCAAAGGAACGTCCAAACCGCAAATGCGCGGCTGTACTTCACTGCGATCTACCCAAACGTAAATTATCGTTATAAATGTAGATAGCAGCAAGAGTACTCAGCAGAAAGCATAAAACTTGCTGAGCAGAGTGAACTCCGCTGGCAGGGAAGCTTGCTCACACAAACCCCGGTGCTGCCGCAATGAGCCTGTAGAGTAAGAACATGAGCTGGATGCTCAGGAGCCAGCTCCACCGTGTCCACCTGCCCTGCAAACAGACCCTCAAAAGGAGCCTGAACAGACCCCCAGTTATGTCAGATGACAACCCAGCATTTTACTCCATAAAAATTCACTTATTTGCTATCTGGAAAGAGCATTCCCATGCTTCTGTGCCCAGTTCACTGCCTTCCACAGCTCCTGCTGTATTCCTCGGGCACAGCGGAGAAATAAAGCAGCAAGCTTTCAAATGCTACAGCTCTGCTCTGGGATGCCAACGTGAATCAAACCCCACAGACCCAAATGCTTTTCGTCAGACGGTCCTCCAGATACCATAAGATTATTTCAGAAGTCATGAGATTAAACCAAAAAACCAAAGCTCCCACAAAACATTTGTCTTTTATTAGCGTGGTATTATGCTCATCTCCATCTTCTAGCTTCCCCGGGCTAGAAGAGAGCTGGTAACCCTTAATACATACTCTGAAAGCTCACAGAGGCGGTGGCAATGCGCAAACAGTTCATCGCACTTAAATACTCTGGATCTGGCACATGGAAGCTTGAGCAAAGAGCAGGAGGAACAAGAAAGTGTCAATAAAACACACCAAAATTGAACATAAAACTAACAAAATACTTTATCGGGTATGATCAAAGCTGGCATGAGGTTTTTAAAATGTTTAGTGGAAAAGCTGGATGGGATATTCCTACACAGGTCCAGAAAGGACATTTGAAATCCTCAGGTCAAGTAACCAGTTGGAAGCCTCCCCGTTTCTTCAGGGAAATACAGATAATTAAAGAATACGTTGTTTCGAGAAGTTCTGTTATGCATTTACTGGAATTTATACTGGAGGCAGTGTTATATGGAAAATATTTGCCTATACTTAGTATCGGTGTATTTGTCTGTTTTCTTGAATGTTGAGAGTCACAAATGCCGAGCAAACAGAGCAAATGAAAGCTTACCCTTATTTTTGTTGGAACAAGGGAATTATTTTCAGAATTTAAAGCTTCTTGCAAACATTTAAAATTAGTAGCAAGAATTCCAATAAATATACAGAGAAACTATAAAATCATGCTAACTCCAAGGCCGGCATTAACAGGACATTTTGAACTGTCACGTGCAGTTCCAGCCAGGTAAAGCCGCCGCACCTCAGAAGTCAGCTACAAAAATGAGAAGAAACAGAAATCGCTTAAAATGCATAAATTTCAGACTCGCTAATACCCCAAACTCATCAAAGTTCCTCTTTAATTCTTTGGTTATGACTAGTTTATGTTTCTTTTGCCCACGCAGCGTGGTCCAAATATAGGCATACTCCCTCCTCTACTTCCTCC